TTTCTGATGCCGGCCCCTCACAAATGTGCTCCTTGATGTGCTCCTTGATGTGCTCCTTGATGTGCTCACAAATGGGTCCTCGTGGCCGCAGGGGTTTTTGGAGCAGAAAAGCAGCCGTGGCTCTGCTCCCGCTCCTGCTGCAGCCTCTTCGCCCATCCTGGGGCTAGGGACCAAGCTGCCGCTGGACCCCTGTGGGGTGGGGAGGCCCAGGCTTTTCCCCCAGGGCAGCAGCACCCACCGGAGCCTCCTGTGGGGGGAGTAGCCAGGCCATTGCTGCCCCAAGCCTCAGGCGCAGGATACAAGTTCCGTGCTGCCTCCCTGGGCCATGTGCCCGCCAGATCATGCTGCCTCCAGTGGCCCCAGGCACCCCCAGCGCTGCCCCAGGGCTGGACAGGGGGTTGGGAGCCAGCGATAGCCAGGCGATGCCCTGGGGCCAGTGCTGGCGGGGCCCAGAGCAGGATGGCAGGAGCCTGGGGCGCAGCTGGCTGGGCTCTATGAAGCTGGGCTGGGCTGCCCCAGCAGGAAGAGAGGGGAGCCACCCTGCTCTGGGCCCCGCCAGTGCTGGCTCCCACATGCCACCTTACTCCCAGCCCCCACGGCCAGGCAGGGACCAGCATGCACAACCTTGACCCCCTCTTACCTGAGTTTCCTGCTCCAGCACAGGTGGGAACAACTCCATGGTCCCTCCATCTGGGTGGGGCAGGGCAGGCCCTGCTCTTTCACAGGCCTGCTGTGGCTTCCTCTGGGTCCTACTGCCCCTGGCTCCTGTCACTTTTGACAGGAGCCAGAGGCAAATAAATATTAATTTTTAAAAATTTTCTAGGGACACTGCGGGCTGGATAGAATGGCCTAGTGGGCCGGATGTGGCCCATGGGCTGTATTTTACCCACTCCTGTGATAAATACTTTCATACTAACTAGGAAGTGCAAGTTCAGTAGTATATGGGGTTTAGAAAGTATGTTTCCCTATTGTGATGGTGTGAAATGCAAAACACCTGGGCCCTTTTCATCAGATAAAATTATGCTAAATGGCTGGCCACCCCCCCCCCCCCCC